CATGCTTAATTAAGTCTATGTAATAGATGATAGCACTTTTGTACTTTGAGTGAACATTAACTATATTTGCTTGACAATAAATATACTTTCTTGGAAAACGCATTAACAATTTATTACAATAAATCTGTAAGTTGTTGAACTTAGAATCTCATCCAAACATTTTTCTTTTGGAAATGGACTTCTAATGGATCAAATACTAGAATCTGTGCATTTGACCTGAATATTAACCTAGTTATCCTTTTTATCATTCATGTTTCGTAGGTTTTGGAACCATTGGTACTATACTTCAAGGACCAATCATTGGTGTTATTGTCCAGTATTATAATTGGATGGTGGTCTTTTACTTCATGATTTTAACCTCTCTCATTGGTGCCCTATCAATGTTCAGGGCATCTTTAGTTAAAAAACAATCAAATTTAAAAATTGAATCAAGGGATGATTTATTAATATAAATTATATTATAAATAAATATTAAAATATATATATATATATATATATATATTTAATTATATTGAATGGTGGATACAATTAAACTTTATGATTAATATGTATATGCATTTGTGCATGTCTTAACATTGATCCGTGGAACAGAGTTTGGCTAATTTCTTACCGGGCATCACATAACATCCTGGCAGTTCAATTGCTACATCATAACCATGCAAGAGTTCTTGGATGAGGAAGTTGCTGTACAAGATGTTGAACACCCACCAAGTACCATGTCACTGATACCTAATATAATTATTAATGTCCAATCTTGTGTGCAAGGAAGCTCTACAGCCCAAATTGAAGGAAGCAGATCATATTCCAGTTCAAGTTAGCAGTGTATAGTCATTAAATTGCAGGAGGTTAATTCATGACATGGGACACAGTACTCACACATCTTAGTTTCAGGCTGCTCTACAGGTAGAATTTCTGCAATCTGTGGTTCATTTTATCTGCAAGTTGTTGTTAATTGCCCACCTTACAACTATGGTGAACCTTATTACAGTGTCATGCTATGTAGTTTAGGGCAACAAGGCTATTCCACAGGACTTGACATTCATAACAGTTTGTTTGTTAATAAACTAGACTCTTTCAACAAAGTTCGGGTTGCATATCATGAATGTTTTCTCTAGCAGAAGCAATCTACATTTTCAAATCACATCATTGTCTGAAGCTCTGAGTTTAGAAATACCATTTATATAGAAAACACTTCGAAAGTGTATACATGTAATGCAATGGGAAATCTTCATTTTTTGGATTATTTTATACTTGAAAAGTTTACTTAATATCCCTAGTAAAATCACAATATCAATTTATTCATGTTCGCATTAGATTCAATGATTTTGACAAAAATACTTAATTGGTGGTTGCATTGCACATATTTGACATACATTAAAGCCTGTACTTTAAATCTATTAGATTAGTGGGTATATGACAATCTGGAAAACCACCATCTGATGCAACTTCAGTGGCTGGTCTTCTTGGCCATGAAACTGGACATATTCAACAGTTTTTCCCAGCTAGCTCCCAGTGCACTGCCAGGGTTGTTGGTTAGTTTCTCAAAAAATAACCAAGGGTGTCTCAATTATTCTGTACAAGTTGACATGCAGTAACTGTCATTTTATACTTATTAGGTAGGAGGGACTATATGACTGCTGTTCAGAGATAACTGTACGCCTTCGTGACATTCAGGTCATGAATGACGCTGTTCTATGGTAATACGGACATAGTAACCTCCCTTGCTAACAGAGAGCACCAGATCTTGCACTCTGAATACTTCAGAGGTTCAATATTTGCACAAACACTCCTCAGCGCTTTCACAGCACAAACAAACCTTGCAAACAATCTATGCAATCTATAGGCAGATCCATCCATAGACCTTTTTGCTAATAATTTAAACAAAATAGACCAATATTCGTTTTAGGCTCCTGTACACATAGGATGCGCTGACAATGGCATAGGAGAATATAGATACATACACATTTCAACTACTGCTATCACATGGAGTTGGAGTAACTATGGCAAAAAAATCTTTTCTTTCCTATCCCCTTCCCTCCAACTCTTAGCACAGAACCCTTGCTCATGACTCCTTATCAACAGTTCATTTGGTATTTACGTTATAGATTTACAACTCCCGAGTTTATGCAAATTTTAATCCTTGATTACACATCGTGAATGGCCTCTTTTACTAAGCAACTGTAGGTCCTTCACAATGGATTTTGGCATATGGAATCCCGTTTTACCAAGTTATATTTGAATGATTTCGCTAACTAACGAGGTGCCTTGTATCCGACATCATCTTCTGAATAAAGTTATATAATTGCCACGTATCTACCGCCGTACCAGTGAAATGTTCAAAATTTTGGCCACGACAAAATGTAGCGACCGGGGCGTGAACTATGCGCAAACTGTTCGTGAACTCGTCGGGACGATGCGTAGCAGTGCGCGCCATGCCACGACTGTCACGAACTGCCTCGAATAGCTCACGAACAGCTCACGTCGAGTTCAAGACATGTTCACGAATTGGTGCCTTCCCACGGACACGGTCACGTGTAATTCACGCATTGACGGCACGAGCAGTTCACGACTAGTTTACGCACTTCACGAACAGTTTGCGCATGGCACGAGCAGTTCACGGGTGGACACTGATGGGTATGCATTTGTGAACTAGTCGTGAACAGTGCGGGAGCCTCCCAGTTCGTGCCCAAAAATGCCACAACTTGCCACGACAAATCGTGGCCAAAAGTCGTGCAAGTGTTAACTTGTGTTTGAATTTTATTCTAACCACAACTACAAAATTATCTTTTCCAGTAAGAAGAAACTTGAGGTGCCATACCCACACATGTGAACTCAACAACATTCCATCAAGCTGCAGTTCTGTAGCTCGCTTGGTTTTGCTATCGGTTATTTCGTTCGTCGCGGTGTTAACGCGAACCAGGGAGCTACAGTTCCATCTTATGCGAGTTACCCTATTTTACCGACCTAAAATCACGTCGGACCGTAAACAGCCGTTTTTTTTATTATTTTCGCCTCAAGTTTCTACCTTTCTACTGTCGATGGGTCCCGAAACTATTTCACCAATTATTTTGAGGACGATATGGTATATACAACGTGGTGTTTATGTCACCAAAATTCATGTTTGAGATAGATGAGTGGTCATTTATGTTAGATTCAGATGTGTACCATAAAGGTGTATGCCTTGTAGCACTGGATGAGGCTCATGTCATAAGTACATGGTAACAACATTTTTTTAAAAGTTAAAACAAAGTTATGTTTTTTTTGGTTTTGTTTTTTTTTTCGTGAAAAATTGGTATCGATTCTAGAATGAATAAGTCCATGAAATACTCCTCGCAATAATACAATTTAATGAAATGCCATGTTTATTTTATTTCTCACGATAGGGGTGAAACATTTAGGCCTATTTATAAACAAGTTGGTGATTTTCGAAGACACTTAACAAGTGCGAGTATTTTGATATTGTCAGCAACAATAACAGAAAGTATCAAGATTTTTTTTTCAAAGTGCTGCATCTTGATGATAGTGATGTTTTTGTAGTTGCTAAACATCCTGACAGGTAATACTATTATCAAGTCCCTAAATAATTTATTGCATGCATTTTATAACGGTAAAATAATGAAGTACCTGACTAACAAATATTGAATTGTTATGTATATTATTGTATAGGCCAAACCTATACTTAAATATGAAAAGTGAAGTAGGCATGGGATTCTTTAAGGAAATTGTGTTTTGTTCTTTAATATTGCCGCAGACTATTTTCCAGTCATCGACACAAATAGTATATGGATGTCATTTAACCCTGGGGTTGGGGAAGGATGTGTTTATGAATGCACTTCAATTCTGAATCTAGGCAAGTAGCCCTGCCACAGGCATTCAGCAATGAATAGAAATTTAATTTCAATCCATCTATTAAAGATGCATTATGGACGAAAACAAACACTTTCTTAAATATTATTGTTGGATACACTGTACTGTAGACCAAATCAGATTATGATTTATCGGTAGCTAAAAAATATTCCATTTGCAGGACACTCAAAAGTATTAGTTGAGAAATCGAAAACACTAATTGTATTGATTGTTATCGTAGGTACCAAAAGCATAGATGCACATGCATATTGGAAAATCAGCACTGTTATGTCTATACAAAACAGCAATATTTAAAATGTACATGTTGTTTATCCATATTGCATTTAAAATGATGGTATGGATTACACAAGTTGTATAATTCCACACGTCTATGGTATTATGTTGTTTAGCTTAGTATTGGAACTTGATACACATCATTACAATGATGCTGACATATATTCATGTCGAAGAAACTAAATTCATAGTTTTCAAATCAGTATTGATGTGTCAAGGAGAACCAAATTAAAAGAAATTTGGCATAATCAGAAAATCAACAGCCTTCAAATGCCCTTTTAAATACAATGAATATGAAATGAACACAGAAATAAATAAAACAAATATTTTTAAAACAAATATATAACAAATTACAGAAGTAACACCCAGGCTGGTAAAAGATGGTTAAACTGGGTGAACATGCATACATAGAGAAGAAAAAAAGTGTAAAAAATAGAATGGTTGACATGTACCATGTATCTGTATTTCGAAGCTGAAGATCAAAAGAGGGTGTTGGCAGAGTTTTCACTGCCCGATAGCAGCATCAGATGTGTTGTTGCAACAGTTGCTTCTGGAATGGGATTAATATACCAGATATTGGGATCATAATACACTGGGGAGGAAGCAACAATGTGCTGCAATACTGGCAGGAAGTTGGACGATGCCATGGCGAGGCATACTGCTATGCACGCCGAACATAGATGCATTTAGATATGAAGAAGATAAGACAATTTTCTGAAAAACTTATTAACTTATTAATAGAAATATGAATTGTCTGAGATTTGAAATTTTGCATGTTTTAAGTATACATGAAATGGACCAACATTATCTGCAAGACATTTGTGATAAACCACATTGTAATATGTCATGTGACTTATGTACCTGTCATTACTGCACGTTGCTGTGTGTGCAGACAATTGTGTCCATGTCAAAACAAGCTTTAGATCTCTTTTTTGCAAACAATGAGAGGTGTACACTTATACAACCCCTTAAAGTAGCATTACCAAATTGCAAATATGTGAAACATCACTCTCACAAGTTAAAAATATAAATATTCTGTTTTGCTGAAAAAATGAATTATTAAAGTGACAATAGCTGCAACTATTGATCTTTTTTCCCCAATTTTTATTTTCAATAAAACATTTCCTATGTCATCAGTGCCAATTTGTAAAGGCCATTGCTGAAATGTGAATACTGAAAGTTTAGCATATATGCTATATCAACGTTGTACATCACTTGCAAGTGGCAACAGATGGCAACAGGGTTTTATCCTTGTCTCCAGAGGGCGGCGTCTATTGAAATGCAGTTTTGTCGAGCGATCCTTGGGGATTACGGTACAAGATAACTTACCGGAGACCCTTGGCGAAATGTCAAATACGTTGTCTTCTTTCTGGCGGTCTCTC